TATCTTGGATTAATTCCATTCTTGTATTCACCATACTCCCCACACGCCCTCACAGTACCAAGAAAGAGGCTCTGAATACCAAATTGATAGGTATCCAGAATTCACTAAGTAGATGTAAAAATATGGACCATATATCAAGTTTAGAAAATGTGGTGATCTAGGATATGTAACTAATCTACAAGTTTAAATTGGAAGAGGCAAAAGTGATTATTGAAGGAACAAGAAGGAAACCAACTTTTTGTTGCAAAAGTGACCCGTGGTTATTAGACAACGGTTGCACAAATAATACCCATTGACAAGAAGACTTTGGCAGGGACAAAAGAGGATAGAAAATTTGCCATTTACATGTACAATCTTCATTTTTAAATAATTATAGGAGGTGATATATGTGTAGCAACCAAAGGGACTTTAAGTCAAGGGACAAGAAGAAAAGGTGTACAAAAGAAGGCCTTCAATGGTACTAAATAGGACCCTAGGGCTTTGTATGGTAGAACTGATGATAATTATCAAAATCTTGGTTTTGTTAAAAGTCCATGGGAAGCTACATCATAGGTGAAATGGTCAATCGTAATTTAATCATAGATTCTATCCATGTTGATGACATCCTTGTGACAAACACTAGTGAGAAGCCAATAATAAAGTACAAAGTTGAAATGCCAAAAGAATTTGGGATGACAAGTCTTGGTTTTTTTATTTTTTTCTTGGGAACAGAGGTAAAGCAGGGTAAAGATAGTCTTTATATGTAAAAAAAATTATGCAAAGGAAATACTAAAAAAGGTCTGCATGGAAGACTGTAAGCATTAATGCACCAACGAACCAGAAGGAAAAATTTAGCAAAGATGGACTTGATAAGTGATTGGGCAGGTTGTGTCCAGAAGCAGGATATATTACTGTTGTTGCAGCAGTGAATCAGAGTCTTTGGTCAGGGAAAATTGTGACAGATTTGTATATTGTGAACAAGAAGATAGTATACAAATTTTTGCGGACAACCAGTTGATACCTGAACATAGTCATGTGCATGTACGAACCAATGCAACACAAGTTGTCTGTTAGTATATAAGGAGAGGAAAAATTCATTAAAAGTTAATATTAACGGATTAGTTAGTTGGTCAGACGAGTTAGTTAGATATAAATAAATAGGGAAGAAGGACAAGTGAGATGCAAATTTGTTGTTGCTGTAAATTGGCCACTGGCTCTTTGAGAAAGGAGAAACAGGGAACTTTGGAGGACAGATTCTCTTCTATTTCTTGTCTCTTCGTCCTATTGAACACAAATCTTTCTTTTTCTTTTCATCCTTGGTTCTTAACAAATTAATCCGAACTTCTGGGTAGGTTGGACCATTGGAGAAAGTTGTCGCCGAGAAAGGTATGCAACTGGCAGAATTAATAAACTGATATGGTTTGTACCAAATATTTGCTATTGCAGATGTAAAACAAGAAACCGTCATCTGTTGAGGAGGAAAATTAATAAAGGTGAGAAATCGGTGGAAGAAGAAGGGGAGAACAGTGGGTTTGAGGAAGAACATGACTTTCGTCCATGTTCTTGGGCAAAGAAAGTTGAATTATCTACTTTTGAAGGTTTAGTAATCAAGAACCACTCCCTTTATTGTGGAGAAGAAACAAAAAGTGGTGAACGAAAATTAGTATGAGAAGGAGAGATTGAAGAATTTATGATGGAGAAAGAAGTTGATATTTCCATGCATGAAGAGGGAGAAACTGAAACACATCGAAAATGAAGTAGTAGATTTGCTCAAGAAGCAAGATGAAGATCCAACCATCAAGCTTGGTAGTGGAGCCAAGACAGAAGGAAGAAAGTCAAAGACAGTCTTGGTAATTATTGTCGTACAGACTAGACCCTCATCACCACCACTCATGCAGCCTAACATGAGTTTCTCTGTAGTGGCAAGTGGGTTCTCATTTCCATGGCAGGAAAACATCAAAATGCTTTGCAGGAGGGAAAATGAAGATCATGGTGACAAAGACGAACCAGGAATCAAACTTCCACAATTCCATCCTTGAGGACAAGTTTGATTTTAGGAGGGTTATATTGTTAGGATATAAGAAAAGGAGGTTTATATGATGGTTATAATATTAATGGCCTGGTTACTTAATTATAGGGGATAGTTAGATATAACTAAGGGATTGTAGACTGAGCATTGAATTTTGAGTAAGGAGAAATCCTCTCGGAAGGGGAAACCCTTACAGAACGAATTTCTCTCCACTTTCTTATTCTTTTCATCCTATTTCATAAAAATATGTCTTTTCCTTTTCGTTTCAATTCTTACTTCCTAACGTTAAAAATATTTCTTAGTTACTTTTTAAAACCAAATAATACATTAGCTATGATAAAATTTCATGGAAGATAACCGTAGGATTTACCCTCAAATCAGCTTTAAGATCTATTCACTTCATTAAAAATGGGAGAACAACCTTTCTATATAAATTAATAGTTATGTAATAGTTTTATCCACACAACAACAATAACAACAACAAAGTCTTATCCCCTAAGGGAAATCAGCTATACGGATCACATGACGCCATTCCACACAGTTAAAAACTAAATGTTTATATATATTATTTAACCTGGTATTTTGCTTGACAATTTCCTCCTATGTCCTTTTTTGGTTTCCAGCTCCTTTTCACATAACTAGAACACATGCAATTTACTCTTCTAATTAGCGACTATTGTGACTTTCTTTGAATGTATCCAAACCAGTTTAACCGGTTTTCTATCATCTTTCCTTATCGGGTGCTACACCAATCTTCTCTTGTATATATATTATTCTATATGTTGTCATTTATTGACATTTATCTTATTATTCACAGTTTTTGTATAACGTAAATAAATGCTTAAGGCATCAAATTTAAATCAATCTATTGTTTTATATTTCTAATTTTAAAAAATCTATCCAATCATAAAATATTTATAAGAAATTAAAATATTATCCTCCTTTCCTTCTACAAAACCCAATCTAAATCATATCCTCACAAAATCTTAAAATTTGTTGATGGATCTTGGTAACATCCTAAGACATTGGCTATGAAATATCTTAGGTACGATTAAAATCTGTCTTTCCAAATCAATCAATTTTTTTGTCACCAAAATATTTGACTTTCATAAATATTGTTATCCTATAAGTAATAAAGAATTATTCTAAATATAATGTTTGCACTCTGATAATAAATCCTATCTGTCAAACACCTTTAATTATAGTTTTAGAAGTAAACTTACCATGCATGATTACTTATGTTCGCATAACAAGTTATCTAATATGCAATTATATTAAATTCAAACTTTTAAAATAATAATTAAAAAACTACATGATAACCGATCATTTTACTTGTAACCATTATAAGAGCTTGAGACATTCCTACAAAACTTCAGTTCTTTGAGTTGGTTATTCTCAGAGAAAGGGTATGATAATCTATAATTGAATATCAGTTTGAAGAAAAACTTGGAGAAAATATAAATTAGTTTTCGGTATCATACAAATTGTATGTGATTTAAGCTCATAGTGTATGTAGTGTGTGGTCATTAAAACTTAAAATCTTTTTCTTTCAATGTAAGTAGTAATAAGTAAATTGAATTGGCAGGAAAGGAAAAGAAGACGAAAACAATCAGTGGTAGGCAAAGCCAAGAACAAGAGAGGCGAACCAGCGGAACCATGGGGAACTCCATAGGATTCAAAGGTTGGCCTAGCGTCGTAAACCGATCCTTGATACTCCGTCTCCAAAGTCTTAAAAGGATGCTTCATCTTACCACTCCACCTTCGACCTTGCACGTGCATATTCTCGAACCCCTCACCACTGAACCACCCTTCAAATTCCTCCTGCGACGGGTAATCCTTCCACCCATCCGAGAACGGCTTCCCGTTCGGAGGTGGCGGCAGGAGGTGGAGGTAGGCGGCGAAGGCCAGGTCATGGTTGCCGGAAAGGAAGACGTGCTTCTGCCGCGGGTAACGGGAGGGCAACGCCACGAGGAAATCGATGACGAGGCGGGTGTCGGGACCGAGGTCGCAGTAGTCGCCGAGGAAGATTACGGTGGCAGTTTCGAATTCGGATCGTTCGATGCTGCGTTCGAGGTTCGACCATAGATTTTTCAGCTTCGTTACGAAGCCGTGGATGTCGCCTACGCAGATTACGAGCCTGGGTTTTGGGTTTGGAGGCTCTGACATTGGTGCGATTTTCTGGGATTTGGTTTGGTTCCAAGCGTTCTACTTGGTCGCTTCAGTTTTGATGAGTTTGATTATGCACGTAAGCTAGAGGAGGGGATTCGGATTCTTTATGCATCACACATTCTACCGTTGTTACGGTGTTTATGGATCGGTTGCATTCTATTTTTCAGAAGCTTGAGAAATAACGTGGTTCTTACGATTTCAGTACTCAACTTTGCTAAAAAAACACACTATATTTTATTCCGATATCGTTTAGATCATAGGATGTAGACAGTGGCGGATTCATTTAAAGTTTAGAAAAACTGATTTAATTTGCGATTCCAATTTGTAGTTTAATTAGTTCTGAATTACACATTTTATATTTTCCATGAAAACAAACGGCAAATACCCAAAATAGCAGTTAACCAAGGATTAGGATTCCTCCATCTACAAATAAACTGCATAATCCGATGTTTATCATCCAAGAGTTCAGAATTTTATTTTTGTTTTTGATTTTATATTTAATGTATATAATTTAGTTTCAATGGCTAAAATTTCTTCCAGCATGTGACTGCCGAAGTACACCCTCCTAACAAATGATATTTCTAAACTAAAACAATCTTAATCGAAACTATGCAACGCATAAAGTCGCAAGCAGCATGAACAAGCGTTTTGATCAGTGTTAAAAGAGAAGGTTAACAAGGCTAGTAAAAAATTTCACTCTGCTGTTAATTAATTATCACCTGTTATCCCAATATGAACATTTTCATGGAATTGGAAAGATAGACAGAAAACAACACTTAAAAGACGATACAAACGAATCAATCGTGAGAAATACCTCCCGACAATTCATGGTAGAATGGATGATCAATCGGTCCCACATGCACAGCCTTTACAAGGAACAGCCTCTGACATAAAGGCTGTATATTATATTATGACAGTATCTAGAGAAAAGTTTGTGCACTGGAGTCCTCATAATTTTGTTAACTTCGTCCACCAACTTATTTGATTACAAGGTAATTTCATGACTAATTTAGTACCAAAATTATCTTTGCATGTTTAACACATTATGCACTCACCTTTTTAGAGTCCGCGCAATACTTTATAAAGTCCATTAGATTGCTTCTAGGATTTACTCTTATATTTATTGTTGCTACAGAAGGATCTTGCTTGTACATACGCCTACAGGTAACAAAATTCTTTAATCTGCGCCCCTCCAGCATGGTGACTGGACGAGTATATTGTTCTGAGGATTTATTTTCAGAGCACGAGTATCAAGTTGCTGTATAAGGTGAACTTCCTATACCTCAAAAGACACACATTTTACCTTGTTACAATCAAAACTACTAAACCACTCCAAGCATGTGCAAGTACTCTAAAGCAAGAAGGACTTCAGCTACATAAAACCTGCATGGACAAAGTTTCTTGTGAATACAAAATCAAGCTCCAAATTTGTTGCATGTTGCCAACAAGGTCGAATAAAACCAACAAAATTGACGAACAGAAATCCCTTACAATTATGGTAGCTATCAAAGTAATTTGCTCTTGAATAGACAGTGCATGTATGGCATATAATTTGGTTCAAAATTGCATGCATGTACGACTACTAGTACACTTAAAGGAAATGGCACCGGTTATTTTTGCTGATAGGCACCGATTCCTGAACCGAGGCATATTCAGACGAGGTAAAAAGTGGTAGACTTTATGCCTCGGTTTTAGAACGAGACAAAAAATGGTACGATTCGGCCTCGGTTATCAGAACCGAGATCGTTCTTCTCCTTCTACTGCCTCGGTTGGAGGCTGAACCGAGGCAGTAGGGTCCTTTTTTTTTTCGTTATGATTTTCGTTATGAATCGGTTGCAGATCTGAGAACATTAGCTTGGCTTGAAAATGATGGCAAATTAACACAGGAATTTAATTTTGGTGCCTCGGGCAAATTAGCACAGGCAAATTAACACAACAGGCAAATTAACACAGATTCGAAAAACCCTAATCTCAGATTCGAAAAACCCTAATCTCAGATTCAAAAAACCCTAATCTCAGATTCGAAAAACGCCTGACCCTAATTTGATCCCAATCTGACCCTAATCTCAGATTTGCACCACCACCATCAACATCACAAAAACCCTAATCTGACCACCAACCGAGATCTATCACCGCCGCCACCATTGACGCACCACCACCGCTTGCTCTTCCCTCTAGAGGCGACGCACTCGCAGGAGATTTTGGAGACCGAGAGAGCGACGGAGCGAGCCAGCGAGACCGAGGGGAGGGAGGCGAGAGCGACGGAGGCGAGACCGAGGGTAGGGAGGCGACAGCGAGGGGAGGCGACAACGAGGGGAGGCGACAGCGAGGGAGGCGACAACGAGGGAGGCGAGACCGAGGGTAGGGAGGCGAGAGCGAGGGAGGCGAGACCGAGGGAGGCGAGAGCGAGGGAGGCGAGACCGAGGGGAGGGAGGGGCGGAGAGGAGGGCGAGACAAAGGGAGGGCGGACCAAGGGAGGCGGAAGAGAGCTGAGGGGAGGGAGAGTGGGGGAGGAGGCGGAGAGCGAGGGAGGCGAGAGTGAGGGATGCGGCTAGGTCAGCAGCAGATAAACGTCAAAAAGAAATTTAAAATGCAAAAAACTTCAAGCTTAATGCCTCGGTCACAGCACAAAACCGAAGCTAAAAGGGATATCACACCAGTTGCAATGCTACCCGAGGTCGTTCCTCTTGACCAGACTTGATCTTCTGCAATTTATTTTGACGTTTAGGCACCGTTCCTGTGCAACCAAAGTGGTTATATCTGTTTTGGCACCGGTCGTATCAGAACCGAGGGCTCTATGTCTAATGACGCAGCAAAGTCACATCTGGCAGGCGAGGCTCGTTGGTGGCTTGGTGGGTTTGTGTGTGGCGCTTGTGGAGTTTCCCCCCGTCAGTGGTGTGTTTGGGGTGTGCGTGGAGCAGGGGTGGGGTGTGCGTGTTGTCGTGGGTATTTTTGTGTTGTGTCGCTGTGTTGGGTGGTGTGTCCGGCGTTGGGTTTTGGAAATGTAAAATGAAAGATACAAAATGGTACCAATAACCGCCAAAGGCAGAAGCCGCGACGCAGATTCTGCGCCCCTAATGGTTGATCCTCCTTCAACAAAATCCACGAAGTCAGGAATGCTAAAACTAAGAAAGCGATGTAGAACGCTAGGGGTACGTCTCCTGTTGTAACTCCTGTCTCGCGACTGTTCAGTTTAGGAAACTTGTGTCAAAGTCTGTGGAAAGTAGAGATTGTGG